AAGCACCAGCAGGAGTTTAGAGGTTGAAAAAAAATGAAATTGTATTATTTATTTCCCTGGCTCCTTTCCTGCCAGGTCACCATGGATAGGCTTTGTCCCTCTACTGAAGGCCGTCCTATCAGGCATCCCTTTCCAGGCAGTTATTCCAGTTAATGTCAGGCCCCCTTTTCACTTATGGGTAGTAATGACTCCTAGGTGTTACTAGCTCCAGGGCAGGTCATTACACTTTGCTGGTTTCCCTAAACTTTGCCTATACCTTTGTAAGTAGTCAGTTATATTCTTCTCAAATGTCCCCATTTGAAGTTGCTCTTTTTATGGGACCATGACTGATAAATTCACCCAAGTGGTTGCTGGAAATAGCAATACATTTTCCAAAGTGTATTCAGTGGGACACGTTTTTATAAGAAAATAAGTTACTGGTAAACTTTATTTATTGCACATTATATTTCCCTCTTAGAGATTCAAAAGGTACAGCATAAAAGTGCTGGAAAGTTCTGAAATAAACATTTTAAACTTTATTTAAGTTAGTATTTCTTAAACATATTTGAATAAGTAATGCCTACTAACGTACTGTGGACATTTGAAACATTGTGATTTAGAACAGTCCCTGATTAACATATATGTGGCAGTTGAGGCCTGAAGAGATTAAGCAGCTTGCCCATAGGGTCACATAACTATTTAGTGGTAGAACTTTATCTAGCATCTGGGACTTCTGATTTGGTTCAGTGAGGTCCCCATTGTGTTATTCTCTTCATTAAAAAAAGAACGTGGATTATGTAATGTCTGAACATTGTTGGTCCCATAGTCTTAGCAACATTAACTAGCCAATTTGCCTATGAGTTAATAGGTGGTAACTGGCTATCAGTTATTTTATAAGAATGAAGTTAGAATGGATTTCTTCATTTTTAAAACGTGGCCTTGGGAACAGAGGAAGGCCTGAATTGATTTAAACAGGGCCAAAGTTGAATTTCTCTGGGCTAAATTTGAACTTGCCTGAGCCAGAATCTACTGCCATTTAACTGGCTCTACAAATCAACTAAATATAATTAAAAGGGAGAAGGGGGAAGAAAAGGAACTAATTTGCCCCTACCTTACAGCTGTTGTAGGAAAGATGACCCACATACTTCATAAGAGCCTAATTTACAGACAAATCTCAAGTTCTTCCCCCCAAACAATATACCTGTTTGAACAAAATCCTAATTCTTTACTCCTCCCTGTATTCGTCATATTCACAGTCTTTTTTCATGCTCCTTTGGAGTACCTTCTCACTGATTCTGGAGAATGATACGTATTTCCAAACATCTAGTGTATTTCCACTTACCCTTGTGCTACTGCTGTTGCCATAAGCACGAACATGCCTGGGTTAGCCTGCTGGAGGGTGAGATATGCATGGAGCCAAGCCAAGTTGCCCTGGTTGCCCCAGCTGTATTCTGTCTAGATTGACTGATAGCCAGTCAACCCTCAGATATATGAGCCATCCCAGCCAAGATCAGCAGGACCACCTGACTGACACCTATCTGATTCCAGATGTGTGAGCAAGGGATGTCCATTGTTCCCTGCCATTGAGGCTTTATAGCTGTTATAATACAGCATTGTTGTGCCAATAGATATCTCATCTTTGGACACAGTATCAAACAGATGTTTCTCAAGTGCCTTCTCAGATTCTTGGCCCCACTGTTTCCTAGGCCATCAACCACTTTCTTTGTCATAGCTACCACCCTACATAGTGACACACTACCAGAGGATTTGAGTGATTCTTCTGCCTGAGGTCAACTAGCCACATGCTCAGAATCCAGGACCGATCCCAACACTTCTGGACTCAAGGAAGCACCATGCCACAGGGTTTCCCCAGTGACTGTCAAAAGAGCTAGATGATGCCATAAGGAGCAGTGAAGTTAACTGGAAAACTTGGATCAATGGGCTAGAAGAAGCTGTCAGACAAATTTCTCTCCCTTCTTCTGATGAACTATTTTGAGGTTCAATTTTTCATTCTTCTGTCCAGAGATGTACCATGTAGCTAAGCAAGTGTACTTGCCAAATTATCAGCAATGTCTTTTCATGAAGCAGAAACCAAATGCAATACAGTAATTTGTCAATTTGCATTTGCTTCCAATCCTTGCTAGCCTTACTTTCTTTTTTACTGTCATCAGCCTGGATTGCCCCCTCTAATAAATTAGCAGATTTAATTTTTTGCCTCAGGCTCTTTTTTCTAGAGAAGCCAGATAGTTTAGTCTGTATTTGGTAAGGAAAGCAGATTTGTTATAAATATTACATTAATAGAAGTTTAATAAAGGAGTTGAAGCTCACCCAAATATGGAAGTTGCTGGGGGAGTAAAGGTCAGGAAGACTGCAGTGGAAGAGGATTAGAGAAACTAGTTCAGCCTGAGATGTTCAAAGTACTCATGACTTAGTTTGTAGAGATGTGTATGTATTGAGCTTATCAATCTTTTAATTTCCTTGATCTTCCTAGTAGTTCTTTGATTCAGCTGAAAGGCATCCCCTTAATCCCTTCAGAGGTTGTACAAGACGAGTGTGTAGTTACACCCTTTATTTGGTCTTTTCTTGAGGCCATGGTAATGCAATACCCTGGATTTGGTCTTTGTCCTAAAGCAATATTTAACAATCACACATTTGATTTGGTGAAAAACAATTTCATTTTCCAGCATAGGCTCTATATTCCCTTTCAATAATATTTGTATACGCGCTTCCTTATTTTTGAGCTTGCCCTTCTCTTAGAGTACCTTAAAACTTGCAGTAATAGCTCTCAGCTTATTCTTTGAAAATTCTACCGCAAAATCTCACCCAGTGCCATGAGTGCTTAGGTACATTTTCTGCCTTCCATGTTACTGCAGGTGATAATTTTACCAAAGGTTTGCCTCCAAATACTGACAATCAAGAGACCCTAGTGAAAAGTTTGGCAAAGCAAACTTAATTGAGCCTACAATGAAGACCACTAGACAAAACTCACCACCCATCAATAACACTTGGTGAAAGCCTCCAAATTAAAAAGAGGGGCCCAATTAACAAGGAGGGGGGAGAAATCCAAAGGGAACAGACAAGCAGAGAACAAAAGAGAAAAATAAGACTAAATGTCTTCAAAGAAAAAGTATATTGTATTCACAAAATAAGAATGGGATAGTATGAAGAACAAGCAATAGACAAAAAAGAGATCTTGTAAATTAAGAATGTGATTACTGAAACAAAAAATTAATACACGAGTTGAAAGACAAAATATAGCATACAAATAGAAAATTGTAAGTTCCAAATAAAGTCCAACCTTCAAGTTGTAGTTGAAACTATAACTACATGTTTTATTGTATTTAATAAGAACCTTGAGGGGAAAGACATTTACTGACAATAGTGCTTATACTAGCCATTGCCCTTTGTTGTTAAGGAGAAAGTTGGAGATTATCTGTATACCAGTTTCTATAAATTCACACACAGAAAAAGAGTATTAGCTAGGTGGAATGAAAGTCTCTCATACACTTAATCTATTAATCTGCACATACGTTGCACATTGTAATGAAATTGAGTTTCTAGCTGGATTACTGAGAAGTAATCACTACTCTCAAAATTATCTTTAACCGTGATGTTTACATATTACCTCCTTGAGACTGACAACTGCAGTCTTATTTTATATGTAGTTACAGTAAATCGTATTTATCCTGTTACATATTTATTATAGAGTATTGTGTTTGAGGGAGAAGATTTACTCACCTGTGCTGTAATGTTCACACCAACAGTTGGCTGATTAACTTACTATGACCTCAATATCTTTATTTAATAATTCTGCCACTATAATGTCTATAATGAGTGAATAGTGAGTCAAAAAACAAGACTTTATTTTGGCTTCCTTTCTGAAGGTCATTTCTAAACTCAGAATGAATGTTTATTTTTTTCAACTTCCCAGAAAGTCAAAGAAATGGGAAGTTGAAGGAAAAAATTTAAGGACTACTCCATAAGGTGCTTTATCTAGATAATAGAAGTTGCAGACAGAATGAGAATCGTAGGGGGAAATTCTATTTTAATTCCTAAAACTGAAGGAAACAGGTCTTTAGAATTAAAAAAAAAGGCATAAATTAAGGCTTATTATCAAGGAATTGCAGAGCACCACAGATACAGAGAAAATAACCGAAGTGTTCAAAGAGAAGAAACAGGTCATACAAAGATCAAGAATCGGGTTGTCATAGGACTTCTCAAAAGCTTTGGTAAGTAGATGACAATGGGGTGATGACTTCAGGACTCTTAAGTGAAAATGATTTTCTGCTTGTATTCTGTTTCCTAGCAAACAATCCATTAATTGTGTGTGAGTATAGAAATAAAGACATAAAAGTTCTCAAAAAAAAAAAAACAAAACAGCCTTCCCATAAATCCTTCTTGAGATAAAGATACTTAAGAAGATACTGGAGGGTGTTTGCCGGCAAAATGCAGGAAGAAACTGGAAGAGAGGAAGAGAGCATCAAGAAAGCGGCAAAGGGAAGTCCCAGGATTCATCCGTCCATCCGTTCAACAATTTTTGGTTGCTTACGATATGCCAGATTCTTGTCTAGGTGGTGGATATAGCATGTCAGATAATAACTGCTAAGAAGGGAGGCAAAGCAGAGTAAGAGACAGTAACTAGTGCAGGAAAGGGATGCTATTTTATTTCATTTCATTTTTTTTTAACATTTTTTATTGAGTTATAGTCATTTCACAATGTTGTGTCAAATTCCAAGGGATGCTGTTTTAAGTACAGTTGTCTAGGAAAGCCTCTGTGATAAAATTGAGCAGAGACCTGAATGAAGAGAAAGTGAGTTGTAGAGACAGCTAAAAGAATAGCATTCTGAGGAGAGGGGAAAATATGTGCAGAGGTCCTAAGCCAGCAACATACTGGGCGTGTTTGAGAAATAGCAAGGAGGCCAGTTCAGCTGCACCGTGTGGAAAGGAAAAGGTCGTAAAAGGTAGGATCATAGTGGAGTAGGAATACAGGCGCACATCTTAGTGCTTTGAAGACCATGGTGAGACGTTTGGATTTTACTCTGAGTGCAGTGCAAAGCCATTGGGGAATTTAAGCAAGATTTGACTTACATATTAAAAGGATTATTCTGACTCCTTTATGAAAAATAGACTGTAAGAGAGTAAGGAGTTAAGTAGGAAGATCAATTAGAATACTATTTCAGTAGTCCGTATGAAAGATGATGTTTGCCTGAACAAGAGCAATCATGATAATGGGAGAGTGGTAAGGAATGATCAGATCCTGGATATATTTTGAAGGTAGAGTGAAATATGATTAGCAAATGGGTTAGACGCTGTGGTAAACATGAAGATGTGCTGTCTCGATCCCTCTTCTAGGAAAGACTTGCTGATGAGCTGCAGGGAGTATGGAGAAAAGAAATTCTCTAGCT